TATACAGTGGAACCCTGTCTCGGAAAAAAAATAGAGAGAGCTCAGAAGGAAGTAAGACATGCCCGAGTGCAAAGGTGTGGTAGGCTTTTGCCAAGAGTCACAGGAGGTAAGACATATCCAAGTGTAAGGACAGGCTTCTCCATCGGGAGGCACAATTAACTGTCTTAGCATTAACCATGATCATTTTGGTAGCTCTCAAGTTACATCTCAAACAGTTGTTAAGAAATCTTATTTTATTTTTATTCCTTCATTTTCTCTCGCTTTTGATAAGAGAGATGACAGACTTTGGAAGTGCCTTGGATAGATTATAATCCAATAAAGTAAAACCAGGAGCCACTTCCATTATCTACCTGAGGGGGTTAGTACATATCCTGTCTCTGGAAAGAGGATTTCTGGTGAGATCTCTAGAAAATTGCAGGCTTCCAGCTGGGAAGGGATGAAGTTCCTTAACTGTAATTAAACAGCTGTTAATTATGCTGGAATTATTCTGTGGGTAAGGGGCTTCAACCAGACTTCAGGGTGAAGGGCTCCTCTCACTTCTCATGTTCCTGGGATTTTCCATCTTCCTCATATCGAGGAAAGGACTGGCAAGCGGAGTGTGGGGGAGGACAATGAACAGCCAGGACTTTTGTACACTGTTGGACGGAAATACAAATGACACAACCACTTTGGAGAACTCCCAGGCAGCCCTTAATCTAAGTCAAACACACTCCTCCTGCCTTGAAATTCAGCCACTCCACTCTGACACTCCCAGGTTCCTGTAGAAACACATTCTCATGCTCACCAAAACACAAGTTCTAGAATATTCACAGCAGCATCAATTGCACTAACCCAGATGGAAAATAGAGAACTGCACAAATGGTGTCATCATTTGTGGAGGTTTGAAAAGACTGGCCCCATAAGCTCATAGATTTGACTGCTTGGTCTCCTTCCTAAACTACTGTTTAGTAAGGATCAGGAGGTGTGGCTTTACTGGAGGATGTGTCACTGGGGGGGGGGGGGGGGGGGGTGGGGGGTTAAAAGGCCCAGGGGGGGGGGGGGGGGGTGGTCTTGAGGTTTCAAAAGCCCATGCTATGCCCAGGTATCTCTCTCTGCCTCATGCTTGTGGATCAGATGTAAGCTCTCAGCTACTGCTCTAGCACAATGTCTGTCTGCTTGCTGCCATGTTCCTCAAGATGATGGCCATGGATGCAATTAAATGCTTCCTTTTGTAAGTTGCCTTGGACATGTCTCTTCATGGCAGCAGAACAGTAACTAAGACATTCCTACACGGACCTATGCTTAACAATGCAATTGAGCCATCTACACACCACTTGCCACAGACACGACAAATCTCTCAAAAGTAACAGCAGGTAAAAGGGGCAACCGTAAAAGGGAAACATGCTTTCCTGACGAAAGAAGCCACATGACCGGCTGCCTCTTCAAGGTCCTGCTGCCCCACCTTCCCTTCACTTCATGTTCTTTCCAGCCCCAAAATATCCAGAGTCAAAAACAAAACTAACCTATGACACTAGAAGGCGAAGGCCTGGGCCAGGAAGTATGAAGGGAGCTTTCTGAGATGGTGCTTACACAAGAGAGTGAAATGAATTGGGTGTTACATGCAGAATATGAATGTTTTCTAGATGTAGAATTTACTTTAATCATGTTTTTTTTTAAAGATTTATTTATTTATTAGTTATATAGTATTCTGCCTGCATGTATACCTACATGCCAGAAGAGGGCACCCAATACCATTATAGGATGGTTATCAGCCACCAAGTGGTTGCTGGGAATTGAACTCCAGACCTTTGGAAGAACAGCCAGGGCTCTTAACCTTTGAGCCATCTCTCCAGCCCACTTTAATAATGTTTTAACCAGGTATGTTGGTACACAGCGTAATCCCAGCACTTGAGGAAACCGAAGGAGGATCTTGAAAAATATTAAAGGCATGTTGTGGTCGTTAATATCGATTATGAGTTTGATGGGATCACACAGGAGACGAGCCTCTGAGCAGGCCTGTGAGGGAGTCTCTCGATAAGGTTAATGGAGGTGGGAAGACCACCTAGGTGGGCAGCACCATCCCCTAGGCTTGGCTCCCCCTGCTTTATAAAAAGCAGGAAGATGGCCTCGCACAAGAACTCACCCCTGTTTCTTGACTGAAGAAGCTGCCTCCTTAAGCTCCTGACTCCCCTTTGCTTCATGTTCTCTTTGGCCCTGCAATAGCCACACTGGGCCAAGTGTCACTAGACCTACTTCTAAAATACCTCTTTCATTCTCTTTTCCCGAGTCAGCTGCCTCCTCCTCTAGCCACTCTAAGTGTCCAAACTAGCCACATGGCTCCACCTTCTCTCTCAGGTTCATGCCCCTTGTAAAACCATTCTTTACCCTGCAGGTGACAAAAGCCACATATTATAATTTTATGTTTTTGAATGGTTGAAAAGCTTTAAAAAGGTTGGCATACAAAGCTGGACAATGAAGGAGCTTTCCTCCACTCTTTCCCCACCCCTTCTCTCTGCCTGAACCCCATCTCTTCACTGAGACTCCCAAACAGTAGCATGTGTCCTCCCAGGGTCTCTGCAAATAGGGAGAGGAGCATGTGCAGTGCTGCCTTTTCGACCCCAAAGAGGGGACACGCGATAGCTGCCCTCACTAACAGTGTATCTAGACAAAGCTGTTCAGTCTGTACGGTGTCCACTGCGGGCAGAGACAGCACCTTCCCTGCTCATGCAGAGTGGCCGTTCTCGGTCTCGTGATTTCAAACGGCACAGCCACCTTATATTTCAACTTTCCTTCCTTCCTTCCTTCCTTCCTTCCTTCCTTCCTTCCTTCCTTCCTTCCTTCCTTCCCTCCCTCCCTCCCTCCCTCCCTCCCTCCCTCCCTCCCTCCTTCCTTTTCTTTGATTTTTTTGAGGGCTTCCCTGTATAGCGTTGGATATCCTGGAAATTGGTCTGTAGACCAGGCTGGTCTTAAACTCACAGAGATCCTCTTACTTCTGCTTCCTGGGTGCTGGGATTAAAAATGTGTGCCATCACTGCCCGGCTCTGTTATTTCTCATAAACAAGTCAGGACAAATACCCAGGATTGTACCCAGCACACCGGCAGTGCCAATTGTGTTTTCTTATGTAATGTAGCAGCGTTTGCTTCTACAAAGTCTCATCAAGCGAACTTGATCCCAAGTTTTGGATTTTTGCAAATATTATCAAAAACTATTAGAGTAGTAGAGGGGCTGAAGAGATGGTTCAACAGTTAAGAGCACTGGCTGCTCTTCCAGAGGACCTTGGTTCAATTCCCAGTATCCACACGGCAGCTCACAGCTATCTGTAACTCCAGTTCAAGGGAGTCCTAGTTCCAACACCCCCTACCCCCCACATACATGCAGGCAAAACACCAATGCACATTAAATTAAAAAGAAATAATTTTTTAAAATTATTGGTATAGTTTTAATTTGCTTTTTTGTTTGTTTGGTTTTTGTTTTGTTTTGTTTTTGTTTTTGTTTTGTTTTTTGAGACAGGGTCTCTCTGTGCAACAGAACTCTGGCTGTCCTGGCCTCAGAAACTCACAGACTACCTCTGCCTGCTGAGTGCTGGGATTAAAGGCATGAGCCACCTTGCCCAGCTCATAATCTTATTTTAATTGAGAGAGAAGAAAATATATAATTTAAAAAATTCTAGCCAGGCACAGTGGCACACACCTGTAATCCCAGCACTAGGAGAGGCAGAAGAAGAAGCAGGTAGATTGCTGTGAGTTTGAAGCCAGCCTGGTCTACAAAGCGAGTCCAGGGCAGCAAAGGCTACACAGAGAAACCCTGTCTCAAAAATAAAATAAAATAAAATAAAATAAAATGAAATTCTAGATGAGTAGCCCATGTTTGTTAATGCCAGCACCAGGAAGGTGAACAGGAAGGATATCTGTGTCACTGATCACCCAACTGGTAGGATCCAGGCCAGTGAGAGGTCCTGTCTACATGGAAGTGGTCAGTGTTCCGGGGATGACACCCAGGCCTGTCCTCTGGCCTCCACATGAACATATACACATACATATTCACAAGCACATACACATGCATGGGAAGAAAGAGAGGGTGAGAGGCAGAAACAAACAAAACAGCTTTAGCTGTCCTGTCCTGGAATTCTAACCCAGAATGGCAAATTTTTAAAAAAAACCTTTGGGAAGAGGGGTTGGTGCTGGAGAGACTGCTCAACAGTTGTTGCTCTAGCAGAGGACTGGGTTTCAATTCCTAGTACCCATATACATAACTCCGGTTCCAGGAGATCTAACAGGCACGCATGTGGTACACACACATGCCTACAGGCAAAAGATTTATACACACAGGCAGGTGGATCTCTGTGAGTTCAAGGCCAGCCTGATCTACAGAGTGAGTTCCAGGATACCCAGGGCTACAAAACACAGAAAGTCTGTATCGAAAAAACAAACAGGAAAAAAAAATCCAAGAGAATAATTAGATGGCTAGCCACATGTGTGATTTAAAGTTTTCTACGTTAAAAGAAACGGGTAAAACATTTGAAATAGTTTACTTCTCTAGTATAAGTCATTTAAATTGGTCACTTAAAGATGTAAGTAAGCTAATGAAATATTTTAAAATAACAGTTCTATTTATTTATTTTTAGGCTGGAGCGTGTACATGGATGGCAAATAGAAGGCAACTTGCAGTAGCCTCTTCCCTTCTACCACGTGGGTCCCAAGGACTGAACTCAGGCTGTCATAATTGGCAGTGAGTGCCTTTACCCAGGGAGCCATCTTACCGGCCTAACATACTGTAATATTAATGAAATATTCTACACTTTTTGAGTCTGTATTTTATATGCATGTTAAGCAAGTTCAACTGTTCACCTCCTTCCAAAGCAGAGCTCCAACGCCGGGAGGCCAGGCGCCAACTCAACCCAACCTTCCCTACCTCGTTTCTGAGGGCGGGCGGGGCCAGCGCGCAAGGAGGCGGGACCAGCGCAAACGCCCCGCCCCCGGCAGCGGTAGAAGTAGACACCCCTAGTGTTGAGCTCACTAACCTCGCCACCGCCTCCACAGAGCCCGCAATGGCGGTTCCGCCGTCTGCGCCGCTGTCATACAGCACGCCGGAGATGTCAAGCAGCACCCCCCGCACGCCCGCCAGCCGCTCAGCCCACGAGGCCATCGCGTCCCACTGTACACCACAACTCGGCGTTGCTGCCGCCCCGCAGCCACGCCTCCCGCGCGAGGCTGCCTGGGAAATGTAGTCCACTGTCTGCGGGCCGGGCGCAAACCGGGAACCACGTGGACCAGCTTGGTGCTTGGCTGCTTTCCTTCTGGGAGGCCAGAATCTTAAGGGCATAGAGCAGAAAAGGCTGAGAATACGTCCCTCGGAAGGAGTTAACGTCCCTAAGAGTCGGGGAGAGGCAAAATGAAAGGAAAAGTAATATAGTTCGGAAGGGATGCTTCTTCACTTGTAATTCCAGCAGAACAGAGAGTGTGAGGCTAGGATCAGCACGATGTCACAGGTGGTCAAAGTGTTTGCCACAAAGCCCTGCAACTTGAATTCGATTCCCAGAACCCATAGAATTGAAGGAGAAAACCAATACCTGTATAATGTCCCCAGAATTTCATCAGTGCACGCACACACATATACTAATTAAGTAAATGAATTTTTAAAGTGTTGGAGACCAGCCTGACCACAATAGTGAGGTTCTGTCTCAAAAGTGGAAGAGAAAGGGAGAGATCGTACAAGCAGTTGAATAGTTGGCGCAATCCCACTCCTTGAAAACACACCAAAGGAACAAGTGCAAACAGAATGACTGCAGTGTAAATGATAATTCCAAGACAAGCTGCAAGAAAATTAATGTAGAGGATACAGACCTCATATCAGGGATGCTGAAAGAAATGTGGTCACTGACGGAAAGACCAGCCAGGGAGTAGTGACTCACGCCCTTAATCCCAGAACAGAGGAGGCAGAAGCAGGTGGATCTCTCCGAGTTTGAGGCCAGCCTCGCCTACAGAGCAAGTTCCAGGACAGCCTAGGCTACACAGAGAAATCCTGTCTCGAAAAACCAAAATGAAGAGGAGGAAAAGGAGGAAGAAGTGGAGGAGGGAAGGAAGGAAAGAAGAAAAAAAAATCAGGTAACAACTTGGAAAACTCTTCTGTTCTAACACTATATGAAAAACATAAATTCAAAAGTTGTTTGCAGACCTTGCAAAAATAAAGACCCTAGTAATAGGGGTGGGAAGAAAACGAGAATAACAGTAAAATTAAGAGCTAGAAACTATGGTGCGAGGCAGCATGGGTGCTGGGAACTGAACCTTGGTCCATCTGAAATATTAGCCAGTGCCTTTAACTACTGAGCCATCTCTCCAGCCCAAGTAAGTGTGCATTATTCTTTTGTTTTGGTTTGGTTTTGAAACAGGGTTTCTCTGTGTAACAAACCCTGGCTGTCCTAGAACTCTCTTTGTAGACCAGGTTGGCCTCTAACTCACAGAGATCCACCTGTCTGCCTTTACCAGGCTTGTGCATTATTCTTTTTATTTAAGTTTTTTAAATTAATTTTTTATTAATTACAGTTTATTCACCTTGTATCCCAGCTGTAGCCCTTCCCTCATCCCCTCCCAATCTCACATTCCCTCCCTCACCTCCTCCCATGCCCCTCACCAAGTCCACTGATAGGGGAGGTCCTCCCCTCCTTCCATCTGACCCTAGCCTATCAGGTCTCATCAGTACTGTCTTTTATAGTCTTTCTCTGTAGCCTGGTAAGGCTGCTCCCCCTTCAGTGAGAGGTGATCAAAGAGCCAGCCCCTGAGTTCATGTCAGAGACAGCCCCTGTACCCCTTACTAGAAAGCTCACTTGGACACTGAGCTGCCATAGGCTACATCTGTGCAGGGGTTCTAGGTTATCTCTATGCATGATCCTTGATTGAAATATCAGTCTCAGGAAAGACCCCTGGGCCCAGATTTTTTTTGGTTCTGTTGCTCTCCTTGTGGAGCTCCTGTTCCCTCCAGATCTTTCTATCTCCTCCTTCTTTCATAAGATTCCCTGCACTCTGCCCAAAGTTTGGCTATGAGCCTCAGCATCTGCTTTGATACCCTGCTGGACAGTCTTTCAGAGGCCCTCTGTGGTAGGCTCCTGTCCTGTTCCCTGTTTTCTTTCTCTTCCGATGTCGGTCCCGTTTGCCTTTCTGAATGAGGATTGAGCATCTTACCCTTCTTGCTTAGCTTCTTTAGGTGTACAGATTCTAGTATGATCCTATATTATATGTCTAATATCCACTTATAAGTGAGTATATGCCATGTGTGTGTCTTCCTGCTTCTGGGATACCTCACTCAGGAGTGCATTATTCCTTTAATGAGCTTGCCAGAGGAGCTGTTTACAAGAGAAACAAAAGGTGTAATGTCTGCCCTCCATGGGTTTACTATGCCAGAGACTGGTATTATTCTATACCAGAGAAGTCACTCCAGCTAGAGATTTGCTTACACCAGGTAAAACAGAGTCTACCTGGTAAGAAGGGGTTAGGGAATGGAGGCTGAAGAATCGGGCTGGAGTCCTGCATAACCAAGAATTATATCTCTATGAGAAATGGCTACCTGCTGTGCTCCTTTGGCAGTCTTGCTTCATTGCCTGTTTGCAAGACGTTAGAAACCTAACAGAACGCCCTCTGCCTCAGATGAAGCAGAAGAACCAAATTATTTCAATGCTGCCTTCCTGTGCCTACCCCTTTCCTTTCAGCATCTAGCAGGACAGCGCTTAGTCTAATCTGCACAGGAGTCTGGGTCTTTCCAGACTGCTGGGTAGGCACTGGGTCAGACTGAAGACTCTGCCAGAAGCCTCTGCCCCATGTAGTGAGCTCTTGTGGTGCAAAGTGGCCTAAGATGTGATCTTTGCTTTCAGAAACCAAGATGGTCAGAGAATAAGACAATGCTTTCCGAACAACTGGGCTGAAATGTGCCAAGGCAGATGTGTGCCAAGTGACAATGAGTGACAGAGATATAGCCAAGAGGATGGACACTGTGGGCAGTGGGTGGCAGTAGTGGCTTATAAGCAGACAGGTGGTCTGAAGACCTTGAAAGAATGCCTGGCTCTAAACTCATGCCCAGGAGGATGAAGGATACCTCTACCAATGATGAGCGGACCTATGCAATTTTGTCCTTTCATCCAGCTCTATAAGGTTGGTGTCACTCTCTAGGTAGACAGAAAAATGCTGAAAGGCCTGTGACCCTTTGAGATGTCACACCTTGATATCCAGAACCTTCAAACACATTATCTTATATGCCAAAGGGGGGCTTTTGCAGAAGGGATCGCACCTATTGTGGTGAGATCAGCCTGGCTGAGGCAGTGGATGCAACCCAACCACTGTTATCATTAAAGAAAATTCGAAGCAGGGGAGTAAGAAGCGGAGGAAATATTCCAACAGCGGTGGTGTGTATGTGTGTGTGAGTTACAGTGCCAACCTTGAATAAGAAGTAGGCGTAGACTAACAGAAATAGGAGGCCCCTGGAAGCTTAAAAGGACAAAATGGATATCCCCAAATCCTCTACGAGGGAAGCAGCCCTGCTGACACCTTGGTTTGGGGACTTCTAATATATAGATGTGCACCAAACAATAAATCTGTCATTTGAAGCCACTGAATGTACACTGCTACAACAGAGGTAGGAAACAGATCCAGAGGGCCAAGTCTGGCATAGAGGTCCAGGCCTGATTGGCCCGTGGCAGCAAGTCTCCAAGTATTTTTCCACCTGATCCAAAAATCCAAGAACTTTGTTTGGATGTAATGGGCAAAGGGTGTTGTCTAACCAAGTCACATCTGGCTACATGCAATAACCAGACAGGGTTAGTTTTGCTTCTTTTCAGGGAGCAGCTTGGTCCAGTACCACAGCTTCCAGCAGCACCAGGCTGCTTCCATCTTTCCCCACCATCCCTTGCACATCCAGCAGGAGGTTAGACCCTCAGGCTCTCAAGATGCCTGCTGCACTCCTGGGGTGGCTCTGCATTTCAGACAGAGACGGTGAGGAAGAGGAAAGAAACAAAGGCTTCCCCAGGCTCCTAACCCCAAAGACTCTTGTTTGCACCTTTTGGGCAGGAGCTCTAGTGGTCAGTGACACTGAAGCGTGTAGGGATGTATACTATATTAGCAGAAGTTTTGGCCTTACTTCTTTTCCAAGAACAATTCTGCAACCATGGCTGAATTGCAGCTCACATATGAATCCTTCAGTCCTTGCTTACTATATCGTTGTATGTATAATCCTATCAGATTTATTTGTATTAGTTAGGACTCTGGTGGCCAGTGACAGAAAGCAAATTCCAAAAGCTTTAAGTCATCTGAGCAATGACTTAAAACCTTCACCCTTGGCTTGTTACCAACTTCAGGGAACAGAATGCCAGGTCAACTGCCTGGTGAAGACAATTTTCTCAACTTGGACTGACAGTTCCAGAAAGAACTCTGACTCTCTTGGGTCAGGGCCTCTCACTCCCTGTATTCACAGGAAAGTGGGAGTTTGAAGATTCAGGCTCCCTCCTGTGTCCTACAAGGGTTGTAGGAAAAGCATTTGTGTTCCTACAATGGCCATGTGGAACCAGGAACACCATGACTTGACTCTGCAGAGTCCCAGACAGGCTCATGTTTAAATGTTTGTTTCCTAGCTGGTGGTGCTGTGTTGTGGGGCTGTTAACTTTTAGGAGATTGGGTCTAAATAGTCACTAGGAATGGATCTTCAAAGGTTGTACCTAATCCTTTCCCTCTACTTCCCTGGTCAACAGTGACATTAACAGCCTCTGATAAACATTTGTTTGTTTAGTTTTGTTTTGTTCGAGACAGGGTTTGCTTGTGTAGACTTGGCTGTCCTGGACTGGCTTTATAGAGCAGGCCGGCCTTGAACTCACAGCAATCTGCCTGCCTCTGCCTCCCTGAGTGCTGGGATTAAAGGCTTGTGCCACAGTGCCCGGCTCTGATACACATTTCTAACATGAAGATTTTGTCACACCTTCCCTCCCGAAACAGACTGAAACCTCTGAAACTGTGAGCCAAAATAAACTTCTCCTCAAGTTGTTCCAGGAATGTATTACGCTTGTAGGGGTGCAAGAGTAAGTACCGCAGCAAAGAGGAGAGCAAGCGTGGCAAAAGGAAGGAGGAAGCAACTCTGTTCAGGCAGAAAGAGCAGACACTAACTACCCTCAGGACCCCTTTTCTTACTATTAAATCCTACTAACCCTGAAAAGTGAGACAG